AACTCGACCCAATTCTCTACAACTCTCTCAAAAGACCTTCTTTGTCTCTTTATAGTCCCTCGGCATCAACCACGTTGAAGATACAGCCTCTCCACTGCTGAGAAAACTTGTTTACTGATCCGTTGCCAGGCAATGGCCGACCTATTGTTGCGCGCGTACTCTTTCGCGGGAATAGCTTTACTAAGTCGTTGCCTAGCAATGGGTCTGTAAGTCACAATATATACAGAGAAAGAGAGAGAGAGAGACAAAGAGGAACATGAAACATTTTGCAGTATAACATAGAGCATTTTAAATTTCAGTATAGAAATAAATACTTCAGCAGTTGGGCATAAGAAGTCTATAATACGTTCAACTCAACGTACTCACACGTTTTTCTCCAGACCACGTCTCGCATATTCTCTTAAATCTCCTGGCCATTCTGTTCACGCGAATGTTGGTAGTGATAACCTTCACTTTGGCTTCGTTGACGTAAGAGAGAGGGGGTGGGAGAGGGGAATGTAAGCAGCATGTGAGAAGCTTCATGGGTTCTCATCCCCACCATCCGGCAGACTTCTTGCCACGGCCTTAGTATGGTGAAAGTTATCACACTGTTAACACGACCGATATCTGACTATACAGAATGGCTAGACAAGTGGAAGCAAACAAGAGGGAGAGACGTAAAGGCCCAGGGGGGATGTGGAGGTCAATCCATCGGTGATCTGAAATAATTCATGAACGCCCCACGCTTTTATAGAACCCAAAATTCATCATCATGTTTTCAAGACACCGTCAATGATTCGTGACCCGAGCCAGGTGAATCCAATCTACACTCTTTACCCTATTCTATAAGACCTATTTAAATATTCTTCTTCTTTCTCCTTTCTATTCTTCTTTCTTGCAATCAAAAATCGCCCAAACAATGTAAGGTAAGGTAAAGTTGTCCCTGTGCTTAACTAATTAAGCACTAAGCCATTAAGACATATGGTGGAGTGGAAGAATGGGTACAGGTTTTCTTGACCTCAGCACTAGTTGGAGTTGAGTGGCCAGCTTCACGCTCCTGCCGCTTTAGCCCGGGCCCCAGTGTATAGGAGGCTGGGTGGGCTCAAAGACTGGTCTGGACGACGTGGAGAGGAGAAAATTCTTGACACTACCGGGGCTTGAACTCAGACCCTTCTGTCGTCCAGCCCGTAGCCAATCGCTATGCCGGCTCTTCGTCCACCAAATAATGTACAGCATATGATAGGAAGTTACATAACCTCATCACTTGATACAGAATCTGTGAACTTCGGAAGAATCTTGAAGATACGATTAGGCACTCTAGTATATCACCTCCTACCCCTCATTGGTCTTTCACCATGCTCCTCCTCGGTGGGTAGAACTGTGGTGTACCGACTCTGTCGGGAGCACCCGAGCATGAATAGTTGGGTCCGACCCTGAGTGCATCGCAATGTACAGATCTATTAGAAGAAATAATCCGTAAGTTCCTCGAGAAACTGTTCAGGGGGAATAAGGGAAAACCGAGATTTTGCGCTGCACAGATATCAGTAACCGCCAGACTCAACATTTTATGTACAGAAATCGTCACACTATACGAGCACGCTCTGATATAAGCCAGGGCCGAGCGAGTTGGAACGCGTTAAGGCACTTAACTCGGTAGGATCGAGGGCGAGACCGCCCGCTGATTTTAAGTTCTGTCATGTTCATACGCTCTGTTGCGATGCCAGATGGTGCCTCCCTCCTTCCCAATACACAGTAAAATATTTAATATTAAAATCTTAAAATATTAACTATTCATTGATACGTATGTGTTGAGTACTGCCTCATATTCGAATTCGCAACCCGTTAAGAAGTCCTAAGCATTTAAGCAGACAATATGAATTTTGGGCCTTAAAACATTTGGGAAACTTAATTTCCTTGTTCTGTAAACAGAGAAGTTCCGAGTATGAGATAAAAACCCTTATCTTAAGAGTCGAGTATACACGGGCACAGGAAGAGAGGGGATATTTTACATCCCCCTCAAACGGATGTATTTTTAAAAATCAATATTGTAGAAAAGAAGGTATGAAATGTTGATAATACAAGCAAAGGATATTTAAAAATCATTCTATCTGGAAAATTCTGCAGCGCATTTGGACAGCAAAGGAAGGACGAGGGGGCACAACTGGATGATATTAATTAAATAAAATTTGAATTGTTTGGTACGGGAGGACTGAACGAATAATGTTAAGAAGTCACGTGAGAAAGAGGTGGAAGTTCATTAACACTTTGGAAGAGTTTAAGCAGCAACTGGGATACGCATGGATGTATACACAGAATTATTTACAGGAGAAAATATGAGAAGAGTAGTATGGTTAGGAGGCACTGTGCTACAAGCCGGAAGGTCGCAGGTTCGATTCCCGATGAGGTCACTGAATTTCTCAATTGACTTAATCATTCCAGCCGCACTATGTCCCTGGGGTCGACTCAGCCTCCAACAGAAATGAGTACCAGAATCTTCCTGGGGGTAAAAGGCGGCCGGCGCTTAAGACTGACAACCTCACTGCCATGGGTGAGCCGTTTGTCTAGAAAATGTGGGAGCCCTAACATCTCACAACGTTATGGGCCTCCACGGCCTGTTACTGGGCCAGCTTTACCTTTCACCTTTTTATGCACTAGGGAGTCTGGAGGCTGAAGGGGGTTAGGAGGAACAACAAACAGGGGATTTATCATATACGCAATAAAGAGAATGACTGGAGCCACATATTAAGATGCAGGAAGCAAAATCTGGATACATCAGATTTTAGACAAGAGGTTCAGTCACATAGACGTAGAAATCTGCATCAGGAGGATAATAGGATGAAAAAAACAAACAAAGAGCAATGACAGAAATTAGGAATATATATTAATGTCACGTGTCACATAGTGACTAAAGACGAGGTTCGGATTGGTAATTGGGTTTATTAACAACCTACAGGTTGTAACTACAATTGATTATTACACTACTGTTGATTTACACAATGTACAATCACTCCACACTAATCTTCTCAGTCTATCTGCACTAGTTTCACGGGTTTATAACACGGGAATTATAACAGCCTCACTGAATCATACACTCCAAACATTACACATAAAAAGTTTCCTAATCGCAAGTTAAGTCTTCAGAAGCCGACACCTTTCAATAATTATTGAAACAACGAGCCTTTCAGTGTAACACATTTAACAGAATAAATCAAATTAGGTATATGACCTCACACGTTTCGGTCCCTTGGGGATATCCTCAAGAGGCATAACAATTAAAGTAAATTAACTTTACATTTGTTGCAGACATTAAAATAAACTTATAACAGTAAATCACATTTTAAGATCAACAAGAAGTGCAAAGGTATTTTTGTTTTATTGTTATGCCTCTGAAGATGGCCTACAATGGGCCGAAACGTTTAAGGCCACACATATAATTTAATATATTGTCACGTGTTGGGTGTATAACGCGACAAATAACTTCACGCCGTATTGGATATAGCGAATTTTTTTTCACACTCGCTCTTACAATCACACAATTTACAAGCTCAACATTACTGCCATCGGCAGTATCACAAATATTGCACTGTAATTAACTGTCGACTGACTCGTAACTAGATAATTCGAGAACTAACTCGTGAACTCGTAACTCGAGAACTGACTGTCTTGAATAGCATTCGCTGCTCCTTATTTAGCCCCGTTCCGGACAACACAGAAAACAGCCACGTAATAGGCACCACTGTTGTCTGGCGCCGTGTTGCTAGCAACGCTGTCGGGAGTTGTCTCTCGCAACCACTGTTTACCCGCGTTGCATAGCGACCAGTGTGCTGGGACTCGGCTCGCTTCGGCTCCGCTCGGCGCGTCACCGCTCCCGGGTGGGGGGGTGTGGTCCTGCTAGCGCGACACGTCACAATATAATCTGTCATACTCGATGGCCTGTCATTCAAACGGTCTTAGAGAAATACCTGCTGAAGTACTACTTCCCCTACCCCGAGTATCACATGAAGTGAACTGGGATTGAGGTCAGGCCTTCCCAATGTTATTAGATTGGTTTCTCAGTCACTATTTTAAGAGCGGAGACTATGAAGTTGATAATGGTTTAAAGATGTTTAGGAAAATAATCGCTATTAATTTTCATCACCATGCGAAATATATTGTGGTATGCTGACTCGTTGCTAGGCAACGACGGCGAATTCAGCTAGTATACAACAGCCGTTACTAGGAAATGGTCGCAACAGATTCGTAACACGAAACAATGGAGTAACTGGGAAGCGGTGTTCTTCACGTGGTCCTTGCGATAGGTATGTGATGCAACAACAGAACTGTTGGGATAGGTGTTTTCTGTGAGATCCGTGCTGAGATGTTATAAGCAGGACAAGTGTAGAGTTTAGTGAGTTGTGAGACAGTCGCTGGCCAGTATACGGCGCTGGAAGCCGTTATCAGGCGACAACCGGTGAAGACACAGCAGACTGACAAGACTTAGTTCATGCTGTAATGAACTGTAGAGTATGTGAATTAGCGACAGCGCTACAGTTACTTGTAGTTACGATCTGTGGTGTTCAGTAAATCCAATTACCAATCCAAATCTCGTCTATAGCCACTCATACACGTGACAATATAAATCCACTGTGAGAGCCAAACGCGCAGTTCTTAAATGTTAAAGCAGGTGATACATATAATAACCACTGTGATTTAAAGAATTAAAACACTATATAAGATTTGAGGCTTTCAAGGCAGTGACTATGAAGAATGCCGTATTCTGGGATATAGCGCCGTGCAGATCTTGTGTAAACCGACGGTTCGGAGGAACATATTGCTTCCATCTTCAAGGTAGAAAATGGAGACGATATGTTCCTCCGAAACGTCAGTTTACACAAGATCTACACAGCCCCACATCCCAGAAGGCGGTATTCTTCAATTAAAACACTGGTTCCCAAACTCTCAGGCTTCCTTGATATTAATACAAAAGCAGTAAGTTCTGCTGTACTCACCGGCCGAACTGGGGTCCCACATTCCCACTGTCGAAGGAGGAGCTCGCGGTAATATCTTCGTCTCGAATCGCTCCCGACTCCATCCCCAGAGGTGCAATGCACTGGGCTGTAACAACGAGGCATCGTCTGTCAACCCTCTGCTGCAGGATTCTCATATAAATAACATTAAAAATCCAACACTGCACCGCTTTGAGGTTCTGACAGCGGTGCCTGCGAACAGTACTATCTTTGGGATATGAGGCCATATAGTGCGTAATTCGCTGACGTTTCGGAAGAACATACTGACCCAAAATTGAAGGTTATAGATTAAGCCACGCACCAAGCAAAAGTATCAATTTGATTCTTGAAGGCTGTCTGCTTTGCTTACATTTTGGCTCTGCAGATGGACCCAGTATGTTACTCCGAAACGTCATGAACTTCTAACAGGTTACACGGTGTCACATTCAAGAATGCAGTGTTCTTCAAGTGTGTACAATACAAAGACGAATGGGTTAATGCTGATTAGGGAAATAATTGCTGTTTATTTTCAGCGTCATTCGAAATATACTGTATAAATCCACTTTACGATCAAAACACGCAGTTGTTAAATGTTAAAGCAGGTGGTGCGTATAGTTACCACTGTGATTTAAAGAAGTACGTGTAAAGCATTGGTTACAAACTTTCAGATTCCCTTGATACGAAAAAAGAAAATGTCCTGTAACCCATAAAATGAACTGAAAAGCAATTAAGAAGCTTAGAAATACATAGTAAAGAAAAAGGAGCCGGGATAGCGCAAGTCGGTATAGCGACTGGTTACAAGCTGAACGATCGAGCGGTAGAAGTTTGAATCTAAGCAGGGTCAAGATTTTTCTCTTCTCCACGTCGTTAAGACCGGCTCTGAGGTCCACCCAACCTCCTATCCAATGGGTACCGGGGGCTCTTTCCCCTAGAGTAAAGCAACCAGGACGTGAAGCTGACCACTCACCCCCGACTAGGCCGAGGTCAAGAATACATGGATACATACACCCATTCCCTCTTACGTCTTCATGGCGTGGTGCTTAATTAGTCAGGCACAGGGACTATCTATCTATAAATGGCTCTACAGCCCTTTTGTTGGACGTTGGCCATTTTTTCAGCTTCTTAATTCCATACACATTCGGTAGGACTCCTTGAACGGGGGATCAGCCCGTCGCAAGGGGGTTACCTACACACAGAGATCCATACCTCGAGTGGGATTCGAATCCACGATTCCAGCGTTCGAGAGACCGAAGACAGTTCATGCCTTATACCACGCGGCCACTGTGGTCTGCCTTAATAATTATACAAACATCATAATCATTCACTGAGAACTGAACAAACTCTCTACGTAGATCGGAAGATAGCAACTCAAATTTTCTACCTCAACTGAAGCTGTATGAACTCTTCTCACACCATACATGCAGTGCACTCAACCACATCAAACCCAGTCTACCGTGAAAGTTTCCTTAAAAAATTGTCATTGTGTGAAGTCCAGATCGAACATAAAGGAACCTGAAGAAAACCCGTGACAAAGGAAATGTCCCTACAATTCCTGACACGACATCAAAGGGCTTGATTACATCTTTATGGGAGCCTCCACACCATAAATCACGTACAAAGACAGTTGAGGCTTCTTGAAAGTGGCCCACATATTTGTCCACAAAGGGGGCGGGAGTGGGGGATGCAGATGAGACAAGAAGACGGCAAAAAATCAAGTTGAAAATCCGGCCGTTTTAACGCATGTACGTGCAATATATAATTTTATGCTGTAAGTCCTTGAACTAGAAAATATCACTATCAGATGTTATTATCGAAATATCTGTTGTTATAAAACGTATAAGGACAAATAATATAACCTGTAAGTCCAGTACAAAATCTCAATGGAACGAAGAACAAGCACCAGTTCTTAAGAAAGCAATGCCTGGAAAGCAAAACAAGAAGGTAAATTTGTCCCTGTGCTTAACTAATTAAGCACTTCGTCATGAAAACGTGTGGGGAATGGATTTATAGATTCACGTTTTCTTGACATCGGCATTAGTTGCGAGGCGAATGGTCAGCGTCACGCCCTGACCATTTTATTCCCTAGGAAATGGCCCGCGGTACCCTTGGGTTGGAGATTTGGTGGACCCGAGTGCTGGTGTGGATGACGTGGAGAAGAGAAAATTCTTGACGGTACTGGGACTCGAACTTCGACCTCTTTGTCGTCCAACCCGTAGCCCGTTACTATACCGGCTCCATAGCCATGTTTCTGCATATTTTAAAGTCTCATTAGGACTGGGGAACTTCTTATAACGTAAGCATGTCTTGTGAAAACATAACCTTACATGCGTCACAATCTTTCTTATTAAATCAAATGAGGTTACGGGTTTAAGATTAAATTTATATTAGTTTTTTTTTCAGAAGTTAAAGTTACAGCTCTTCAAGACAAGAAAAGTTTTTTTCTCTTACCTGAATTTTTCATGATATATTTTGATGAAATATTTCAAAACGCTAGAGTAATATTATCGTTCGCTGAAGAAGCAAAGCGTGGCTTCGGTTGATATATTGAGAAGATTAAGTAAATGGCTTCGAAAAATAGATTCATATGAAGCTCTGTTTAGCTCATGCCGAGGCAGAATGTTGTAGGCATTACTATTCTGTTATCTACTCGAAACTGCAAATGTGAATAACACAGGAGCCATTTTTTCGGTGGGGGGGGGGGGGGGCAGGATGGTATACGAGGTTTATTGCTCATCCAATAACAACGGATTATGTTACAGTTCACTGTTCANGAGTTGTCTATTTGAGTGTTATGTTGACGGATATATAAAAACGATATAGCGATACACACAACAGAACGCATTCCCTGAAGATCAAAAAAGAATCGATTAACGTATATTACGTGCTCAATGAGTATAGGAACCTACTTTCTCTGGTAATTCACTTAGTGGGGGGTGGAGTCCAGCTGGGCCCACTCGGCACGGCAGCCACTGATTGGCCTATTGTGCCTGTCCCGGGTGATTATGATGATGGAGAATTTGGTGGAATGAAGATTGGCAGGAGAAACCGAAGTACTCGGAGAAAACCCGCCCCAGCGCCAATTTTTTTTCCCCCTTGGCACTACAGCCCCAGTGGGCATAGGCCTACCTCCATGAACTTCCCCATTCACTTCGGTTTTTCTAGTTCTTACACATTCGGTAGGACTCCTTGGGCGGGTGATCCATGCCTTGAGTGGGATTCGAACTCACGATCCCGGTTTACAAGCGAGCGAAGACAGTACATGTCTTAGACCGCTTGGCTACCGTGACCAGCCCAGCGCCACTTTGCCCACCACAAATCCCACTTGACCAGACTCGGGATCGAACCAGGGCCGCCGCGGTGGGAAGCCAGCGACTAACCGCTTGAGCTATGGCGTGGCCCTAAGTTTAGCTTGAAAAACGATGTAATACGAAAGCTTTAAATGACATCCGCGACTATGAAAATTATAGCGCTCACTTCCACAAAGCATCAAATCCCATCTCGACTTCTCCGCAAATGATTCTTGAATGAATCCCAGATTTGAGATCTTCGTAAAAATAATCACCATTATGCTGGATCTAAGATTATTACGCTCAAGCCCAAATAGTAAACCTAAAGGAGGCTAAACATACAAACACATACCTGACAAATATTTAAATAATAAGTCTATATTAGTTGTTATTTTTAATTTGCTGAAATGCACGCAATTACGGCTGACAAAGAATCAATAAATAGTTTGAAAACGCTTTCCAAAAGCGCCGTTGTTTGCTAGAAATCGTTTCAGAGGTCCTACTACCTCTTTTGTTAAAATTCTGCGATTATTACGAGAGAGTTAAGATTTCCATTTCACATTCAATGCTGTAATAAATACTGTAGGGGTGAAGGTGAAATTGTCTCTCTGTTTAACGAAGCATCGCGTCATGAAAACTTATGGGGGCTTTAATTCAACATATTCTTAACCTCGGCACTGGTGGGATGAGTGCTCAGCTTCACGCCCGGCCGCTTTATCCCAAAGAAAGTAGTTATTATATAGGAGGCTGGGTCTGTTCCAGAACCCGTCTGAATGCTGTGGAAAACAGAGAAATGTATTGCCCCTGACGGGAATGGATACCAAATCTTCGGTCATCGTACCCGTCGCTTTACCGACTGAACTATCCCGGCTCCTAACAGACACTGTATGGAACTGCAAAGCGCTCAGTTTCATATAATTTACCGTTGAAATTCAGCTAACTAATAAGCTTATTTAAAAAGTAAGTTCTCACCTGACAGAGAACAATGCAAGTCCATTATACAGATAAACTGGTTAACACTGTTTGCAGAAATAATCCCGAATTAATCTATGTTATACAGAGAAGCATTCGAAACAAATATACCCTGCAAGCAGAATGAGGAGTGTCTAATGTTACAGAGTAGCGTAATATTCCGGTCGGGATTCGAATGGAGTACCTCCTGAATAGAAGTTTTTTACTTTCTAGACCGTAATTCCGCAAAGTTCGGAGAAATCTAGACGTTTCGGAGGAACAAACTGCTTCCATCTACAGGGTAGAATAGTAAACAAAGGAAAATGAGAGCAGAAGTAAGCAGAAAACTGACGACGGAAGCGACAACTCACATCGAAACGTCTGGTTTTCTCCGTAACACAAGGCTCTACAACCCAGACGGCTGTAACTCTTCACAGTCACGGCCTTGATAATCTGACCTCAACATTTTTACGGTGCTTCGAAAAGCAATCCCGGTTTTCCAAATTACTTAGAGATACTATATCTCTGCAAGAAGACGCTTACTCGATGTTACTGAAAGTTGCTTACTGCTGGCAACCTTTCAAAGTACAACATTCCACCGTACCAGACGTCGCAGTTACTGGGGGTACATAAGTTACAGAAACAGTCTCCATTCTCAACGCTGTAACACCAAACAATAACTAGGTACAGAGTGATCAACAAACAGCCCACGAAAGGGTCACTTTGAAAACAATTTGAACACTGAGAGCTACTTCGACTTGGACTCACTTCAGACTTATACTATAAAACTGTCGTATCGTGAATTCCCCTTTCGATGCCCGTCGTTGGAGTATCGTTGGTGTTGCCACCGCGTAACCAGTCGGACTATTCT